ACTTGCAATTTCTGGATGCAATTTCTTAGACACGCAAAGGTAGTGGGATGGTGCAAGCTTTACGCAATGCCTGTCTACGCGAGCAGATGTGTTTATGGGATTCAGGGAGGTCCATGGCCAACCGCGCACTTGTTTACAGTCTTGTCCGTTGCGGATGATGGGCCCCATCATCCGCAACGGACAACGGCAGCGGCACGCCGCCAGATCGGTGCTCCGATTGCTGAGTGCGACAAGGGAAAACAACTGCTGGAAAACTTCTGATACGAACGAAATGGTAGTCCTGTCATCTTTCAAAAGAAAAAAACTGTAGCGCCAAGCGCGGTCGCGCGGACACGCCCATCATTCGCAGCGAAGCAGGGTATAAGTTGTACTGTTAGCCATCTACGTACTTACGAAATGTTGTCAACTTATTGATATTTCTAGTTAATTCTGGATTAGTTAAATTAGTTAATTTTGACATATGGAACTTCGCAAAAGGACAGAACCATTCTGGTTGAAATGGCGGTCCGTCGAATAAAGTTTCAATCGATATACACCAGCCAATGAAATCGATTAATGCAAGGATGGTAAGGCTCACTAGCGAGTGTGCCCGATAAAATTGGTCACACGAATTATTGCGCTTTGGCAAGGTACAAAGAGCGAGACATCCCTTTGAGGGTCCATTGAGGGGGTCCTTGAAAAAGCGTCATCAGGATGGGCCCTACTGATCACAGCAGTTTTGCCAGCATTGTTCAACTATTACTACCCCAAAAACTCAATATTTTCTGGTGAAACTTTAATTCGGTGCCCTGATCACGAACTGACATTCGCGATCGACGCTGGGGCCATTTGGCGTAGCAAAGCGCCAATTTGGCGCCACCAAGTCGACTTCAATCAAAGTCGAAAAGAAGGCTGTTCTGATTATGGCATTCAATTCTCGGCACCAGCGCCAGCGCTCCTCTTTAGCTGAGGCTGGAAGAAGGAGCGATTTCCTACAGGCTAAGCTCGGCCTTAGCAGAACGCAGATGATCATGGTGTCCTCCAGCAGGGGTAGCGCAAAAATGAATGTCGTATTCGCAATCAAGAAGTCAAGCCCTCGAATACAAGTTTACAGTGGATTCGGATCTAGGTTATTTTGGCGCCGGCGCCAGGAACCTTCGAATCAAGCGAACGTGATGCCTGTGTTTGCTTGCCAAACTACCCTCAGGGACAAGTTTTCAGCGGATTTGGTAATCCAGGATGCTTTAGTGCCGGCGCCGATGCTGCGGGCGCCAGGCGACTTCAGGCGAAGGGGATCGTGCCGCTTCGCTTCATGAGAAGATATAGGCATGCACTTTATCGCCCCTGTCGAGGAGGCAAACATATTGGTTTCCTTCGTCTTCCACACGACATCCTTCAAAAAGCTACCGTTTAAGGGAAAGTCAGCGAGGAGAAAGCCTGCAACTCTAGAGTGATCACCACATATCCTTACATTCTATAAACCACTAACTCTGTGTGTCGGTTTGTCGGTATGTATGTCGGTTTGTATGTCTGTCCGTCCGCAAAATGCTTTCACGGGATTAAACACGTTAGTGAAAGAAGAAAACGACCGCTAGCCAAACCGGGAACCCATCGG